CCCCCCCCCCGGAGCCGTCGCAGGTGCCAAGGCCTTGCGGTTGCCGTGAGCCGGTAAAGAGGGAAAGCAAAACTCCCGGTGCTAAAAATTTGAGCGTAGTTGTTCACGTGCTCTTCCCTTACCTGAATTAATAACAAAGCAGACCTCCTCCTCCAAGCGTGAAAGGACCTTTTTAATTCCCTGCCAGGTCCCTTTTCCTGGGTATACGTACACCTCCACTTTTGGGCTTATCTGTTTCGCTCGGAAGCCCTTAAAAATACTGCCTTTTGTACGTAGCACGCCACTACCAATCCTTGTGAAACCAGAACAGCAGTTAGCTAACACACGACTACTACCACAAGACTACGCGCTCTACTGTGCCACAACGAGGGCGCACCGCCGCGCACCACAGCTTCCATCAGGGCTGGAAACACAGCCGGCCGAGGCGCAGGCCTTCCCTAAGCTGAAACGCCTTCCCTTCCCGCCACCCAAAACAGCTGCCCGGAACCAAAATGGCAGCGTCTCGGCCTCACCTGCCCGGTTGCAAAATGGCCGCCGCGAGGCGCCGCCGTGTGCGGTCAGGTGGTGCGGGGCGCGGCCACTCCTCCTACCCCCTTCCCCCACAAGGCAGGCGGCGAGCGAAGCGGCGGCCGCCGCTACACACACACACACCTCGAACCCGCGCCGGAGGCCCAGCAGGTAGGCAGCAGACGGAGCCGCTCCTCCTCCCGGCCTGAGCCGGCGCTTCCCCCGCGGAGAAAAGGAAAAGGCAGGAAGGAGACATGAAACCACCTTTGAGGGACGGCGAAGCGCGGTGAGGGTTCCACCCCAGGAAGCTTGTCCCCTCTCGGCGGCCGTAAGCCCTTCCAACCCCCCCCCCCCCGGCCGGGGGGGCGGGACTCTTGCCGTTCCCGCCTAAATCTTCGGGGTGGGCGGGGCCTCGGGGCCTGGAAGGGAGGGGCGGGGGGGGGGCTCCGGCCGTCGAGGCCCCGCGGCCATGAAGCTGCTGCGGCTGCTGTGCCGCCACAAGACGGCCCTGGGCCTGGGCGGCCTGTCCCTCTTCGCCGTGGTCCTTCTTTACCTGGCCAAGTGCACCTCCGAGGGCCTCCGGCCTCTGCCGGTCCCCCGCGGGCTCCCGCACAACCAACCTGCGGCCCTGCCGCCGCGGGGTGCCAGGGGGCCGCATCCCCCGGCAGCCCCGCCACCTTCTCCTGAGGAGACCGCTTTCCTGGCCGTCCTCATTACCAGCGGCCCCAAGTACAGCGAGCGTCGCAGCATCATCCGCAGCACGTGGCTGTCGGCCGCCGGGCGTCCCCCCCACGATGACGTCTGGAGCCGCTTCGTGATCGGCACGGGTGGGCTCGGGGCAGAGGAGCTTCGTAGCCTGGAGCTAGAGCAGAGCCGGCACAAAGACCTCCTCCTCCTGCCAGAGCTGCGGGATTCCTACGAGAACCTGACCGCAAAAGTCCTGGCCACCTACGTCTGGCTGGATCTGCACCTGGACTTCCAGTTCGCCCTGAAGGCTGATGACGATACCTTCGTACGCTTGGATGTGCTCGTGGAAGAGCTGAGAGCCAAGGAGCCGCGTCGCCTCTACTGGGGCTTCTTTTCCGGCCGCGGCCGAGTGAAATCTGGTGGCAAGTGGAAAGAGAGCGCCTGGGTGCTCTGTGACTACTATCTACCGTACGCGCTGGGTGGCGGTTATGTGATTTCTGCAGACCTGGTGCGCTATTTGCGTCTTAGCAGAGACTACCTGAACATGTGGCAGAGTGAAGATGTCTCCCTGGGGGTGTGGCTGGCTCCCATTGATGTGAAGAGAGTGCACGACCCTCGTTTTGACACTGAGTATAAGTCACGAGGTTGCAACAATAAGTACATAGTAACTCATAAGCAAAGCATCGAGGACATGCTGGAAAAGCACCAGACCCTGGCTAAAGAAGGAAAGCTCTGTAAGGAGGAGGTTAAGCTCAGGCTTTCCTACATGTATGACTGGGGAGTGCCTCCTTCACAATGTTGCCAGAGGAAGGATGGCATCCCGTGAAAGTCTGAGGAAGGAAAAGGCAGAATATCGATGGACACTCTGAGCTTGGTTACTGTTCCTCGGGGAGAATCCCAGTAACTAGGGCTTAAAAATTACTCAAAAGATTTTGCACGATTCATTATGTCACAATCAATGAAATCCTGAAACTTCTAAGAGCTACTGATGTGGCATGATGTAGAGATGTTTTAAAAAAAAAATATGACAAAAAGCATGGAAAGGCTCATACAACAGGATTGAAGGCAAATAATAGGTTGAAAAATGTGGATAGTACAGAAATTTGGGGGAGATAACTTGAATGAAGAGTTACTGGAAGATTTTTAACAGATTCTAAGATTTATTTGCTAAAGATCATGACAGGCCTTTATGCTATCTATAAGATTGTGAAACTAGCATCTGCTGTTTATTTCTTGGCTAGGAAGAAGTGTCAGTTTGGCAAGGTTTGAAGATTTTAATGGGGCTGCAAATCAGCTGCTGTTGCCAGTGGGAACAGGTGGCTGGTTACTGACACAAGCAGTCAAGTAAAGGGAACAATTTTACCTAGGGTATTTGTGTTAGGGGAGGGAGAGAGCCTGTTCTTTGGCAAGTGCTCCGATTTACAAGAATGGAATTATTAGACCTTCTGTGTAACTTGTCTGTGAGCTTTTTGTTGTTTTAAAGACATCATGTACATAAATTATCTGGCAGCTACGGAGTAAGTCTATATTTAGAAAGGTGGATGAGTTACGGTATTTGGCAGATATAGAATATATTATCTTATTTGGGGGGCAAATAGTTACGTGGCAAAGCTAGCCTTCAGTTGTTAGGCATAGGTGTTGTTCTTAGTTTATCCTCCAAATACACTGTGTATGAAGAAACATTTCCCCTCCTGACAGTAAGTAATCTGACTACTACAAGGTCAGATGTTGTAGGCTTCAGACTTAGATTGTTCTGGATTACTTCTGTAAAATGTAAATTGGCAGGATTAGATCGGCAGAAGCTATTTGGAGTTCAAACAAGATTGCCCTAACATGGGTACCTCAGCTAAGAAAGTAAACTCTGTATTGTAGTCAAGAGAAATAGGTTCCCCCACCCCCCAAATTCCTCTTTGAGGAGAACCTTGTCTCTCTTTTCAGGAGATACATTGCAATCTAAGGGGACTAATCCCACAACAGTCACATTTAGATGCCTGAAGCTAGACTGTGTGAATTCCCTCCTCTCCAATAGCACATTTTAGTGGAACTAAAAATAATTTTACAGGTGGTCTAGGTTAATTGCTCAAGTGATATGTCAGTAAATGGGATTATGTTCCTAAATCCTGTCTACACTACAAATAATTCTAGTACTGACAGAGCTTGTCAGCATCAGATGCAGTATTGAAGAGTAAATACAGACAGGACAGTCTTGGCTGTAGAAGAGATCACTTACACAATTTCACCATGTTAGTTATCTTCAAACCTTTACGTAAGCCTGTAATTCAAACATCTTTGAATGGCAGGTGCTCTCATACACAGAAATACCTTTTTTTTTTTCAGTACTACTACAGAGCTACTGACTTCCAGTAACCTTTGTCAGCTACACATCTTTCAGTATAAGCAGAGTTTTTACTTTATGCCTGAAGGGCATTCTTAATTATCAGTTTTACTGTTTGTTGCACACTGCACTTTCATACAATTTAATTTCTTCCTCTGCCTAAGTCAGTGTCTGTTCCCACCTGCAGGAAGAGAAAAATTGCAAAAAAAAAAAAAAAGGGAGGGGTGCCAATGTGTCTGTATTTTTCCTTCTTAAATTAGCAAGTTTGCAGTTCATACCAAAGGAATCAACTATGGGGGTTTTTTTGTTATTTTTCTCTTGTTTTGATTAAATTATTGAGGATTAAGAAAAGTCTTCTGCAGAGAATGATAATTCTCTATTTTGAAAATTTGAACAAATCTTTTACTTCCTTCTAAAACAAATTAAGATACTGAAAAAAAGTTATTTTAGCATGTGTCCATTCTAATGCATGCTTATGCGTTGACAGATAGGCAGATGTGCTTTTCAGCAAGGTATACTATTCTAAAACAAGAATTTAACAAGATTACAGGAAATTTAAATTGGTTTTAGCATTTAAAAAATATCTATTTGCCATTTGGGGTTCACTAGTATTGTGTGTATATATGTGATTAAATGCTTGTAATGTGAGTATTTATTTATAATTATTGAAAATGTATTATGTATAGGAAAAATGAGATAGTTAAATGTCATTTTAAATTTGTTTAAGGAGGTACTGTAATGTCCACGAGAATTACATATCAAACAGTGCTTGAATTTCTTGGTGTACAAGCCATTACTTAAAGTACTGTGATCTGAGCTGCAGATCAAAAGTCTGTTGCATGTCTCTCAAGCTAGTAAGAATGTACTGTTTATCCATTTCTATCAATAACTGTGTTCATGGAAGTTGTTTACATTGTTGACTTTGACTCTCCTTACTCACAACTCCCCCCC